CTATTTCAGAAGTGGATGGCCAATCCTTCTTCCTAGTCTGTCTTAATCTGAATGTTCAGATTTAGAAAAGTATCAAACAGACCACCATTTTGTAGAAAGAGTGAAAGGTATATCCCTTATTGTGGAGTTAACCATTAGTGTCAGTGTTGTCCCTGCCTTTGGCACTTGTGTCTTTACTCACTTATTTCCCTGCTCCACCATCCACCAGGATACCCATCCACTTCTACCCACTCCCTTCACATCTATCTCCCGACACTTATACAGATGATCTAATTTTTATTCCAAATTGAGAAATTTTGATTCGCTGGGCTTTTTTTTTTTTAATTTCTGGAAGTGACAAATTTCAGACTTCATAATTGAATATTAACAAATTGTCACTGATAACATGATTTTCTGTTCCAGAAATTTCTGATATTATCTGTAACTTGAAGTTGTATTAGGCAAATAAGTACTTTTCCAGCTTATAATTGTGTCTTAATGGAGTATAACATAAATGTATGTTGATTTCCTATATTTTGATCAGAGTAAATGAAAATGAATAAAAATGAACATATTCTATATTTACCAGGCAGCAGGAAAGGCAAGCATCCACATTGCTCTTCTATGTGTCGTGCTTTGCATTCCTTCAAACAACCAGATGTGCTGTAGCTACAAAAATTCTGCAACTTGATGTTAGGATTGCATTCTCCCCAAGGATATTCCTGGTGAACTGTCTTAAGATAATATCAATGAAATATCTGGATAAAGATCTGAACAATTAATCCATTTCCACCCCAAGAGAAAAACGAAAGACTTCTGCTCAATTTTGCTTTTCTATCTTAGTTCCTTGATTACTTTTTATAGTTGACCAACTCATAAATTGAAGAGAAAGGGCCACAAATACCATTAATAGTGAAAAGGTGGAATATATAAGGTATCAATCTAGAAAAATTGGAAGTCATCAAGAATTAAATGGAACCCATAAAGATCAATATCCTAGGCATTAGTGAGCTGAGGTGGACTTGTATTGGCCATTTAGAATCAGAATATGATTCACTACAACGGGAGTGAGAAATTGAAGTGGAATGATGTCCCATTTACCTTAAAAAAAGAACATTCAAAATACATTCTGGAGTACAATCCTCTGAGTGATAACGTACTGTACATAAGCACACAAGAAAAACCTGTTAATACAACTCTTTATATATATATGTATATATATATATATATGTGTGTGTGTGTATATATATATATATACCATTAAAGCAAAGATAGAGAAATTGAGGATTTTTACTGATTTTTGCAGTATGAAATTGATTGAATATGCATTAAAAATGTATATCTAGTAATTGATGTCTTGAATGAAAAGTTAGAAACAAAGAAGAAGGACATGTCATTGGAAAATTGTAATTGGTGATAGAAATGATACTTACTGGAGAACAAATGACAGAAAGTTTGCACAGGAAAGGATTTATTCAATGAAAATAACTTTTTAAACATATAAGAGGAAAACTATACACATGGACTTCACCTAATCAAGAATCATATTGACTACATCGAAGAAAGAGATGATGGATAAGCTCAATATGAGAAGTCAAAACCAGGCTGGCAGAAAACTGTGAAATAGGCCATCAGTTACTCATGTACCAGTTTAAACTGAAGCTGAAAAAAATGAAAATAAATTCTCAAAAACCAGAATACAACCTTCAACCTATCCCAACTGATTTTGAAAAGCTTCTCAAGAACAGACTTGATGCTTTGGACACTAATGGCTGAAGATCAGATGGATTGCAGGACGATGTTAAGAATATCACCAATGAAGAAAGAAAAGGTAATCGAAAAGACAGGGGGGGAAACAACGGACAAAACAGGTATCAGTAGATTCCCTGAAATTTACACCAGCATATAGAGAAGTAAAAACAAAAGGGAAGAACAGTAAAGATACAAGGAAGCTGGAAAAAAAAAAACAAAAGGGAAGAAATGTTATAGTAAAATAGCTGAACTTTCACTGGAACATAGAGATGCCAAAACAAAGAAAAGAAATACTGAACCAAAGATTTCAAAGGGCAAATAGAGAAGCAAAACTAACACCTTTAATAAAATGTACAAAGATTTGGAGTTAGAAAATAAAAAAGAATGAACACATGCAGTATTTTTAAACTGTAAGTACTGAAGAACAAACTCAACTTTCGAGATGTAGTAACTGAAAGATTTTTATGAAAATATTGAATGCAGAAAGAATATGAAGAAAATGAAAAGAATCTTAAGAATTGGTGAATGACACATGATCAAGAGTCAATGATAACAAAAGAAGATGTTCAAGATTAATTGAAAGGCACTGACAAAACATAAGATCTTAAGAATCACTAGACTGCTCCAAGCGATTTGGAAGACAACTGTCCAACTAACTCACTGGAAGATATTTATATTTGTTCCCATGCAAAAAAAAAAGTATGATGCAAAAATATGAATGTGGAAAATACCAAACAATATTATTAATATAACATGCAAAATTTTGCTCATGATTTTGAAAAGCCACTGTGTAGTACATTGAAAGCTACTGTTGGAAAATTTATCCTGTATTCAGAAGATGACATAGAGCAAGAGATATCATTGCTGTTGTCAGATGGATCTTGGTTGAAAACAGAGATTAATAAAAAAAAAAGTTTAGTTATGTTTTGTTGACTGAAAAAAGGCGTGTGAATATGAGGCCCAAAATGAATTATGGATAACATTGAAAAGAATGAAATCATTGAACACTTAATCATGTTCATATGAAATGTATACATAGACCAAGACACAATTGTTTGAACAAAATGAGAGGATACTGACTGACTTTATAGAATCTTTGGCAGCCTAATTCCCAGGGAGTTTTGTTGTTAGTCCAAAAGTGGTGCCTCTCTACTGATTTGAATCTATCAGTGGCTCCATGGCTGAAAGATGAGCAATCTTCTCTCAGATGATTTATAGCCTCCACAACCTGTTGGGAAATGAGCTATGAGTAAGCTCCAACTCAAGGGCAATGAGTTTGAGAGTGCGTATGGTTTTAAACTAGGGCTGTATCCTTTCTCCATACCTATTCAACCTGTATACTGAGCAAATCATTCGAGAAGCTGAACCATATGAAGAAGAACATGACATCAAGTTTGGAGGAAAATTCATCAACAGTTAATGTTACACAGATGACACCACTTTGCTTGCAGAGAGTTTAGGTTTAGTATTTACTGAAAAAGATGAAAGGCTGCAGCTTTCAATATGGATTCATTCTTAAACCTCAGGAAAATATAAATCTTCACAACTGATGGTATACAATCTACACCGTGGTAGAAAAAGTCAAAAAATCTAAAGATATGTTGTATTTTGTAAATCTGTTGTTGAGAACCTCTTTAAAATGGGGAAATGACAACCTCTTCAACATATGATGCTGGTAAAATTGGACTTCCACCTGCAAAAAGCTGAAACAGGATCCACATCTCACACCATAGATAAAAATCAACTCAAAGTGGATCAGAGACCTGGGAGTAAAGCCTCAAATCAGAAAGTTCATAAGAGACAAACCAGGATCAAGCTTAGAAGGCCTAGTCTACAGTATAAAGACTGTCAAATACAGCCAGAAATAACACAATCTGAAGAGGATACAATTGATGAATGAGACTTTTTAAAGAAGTTCTTATATATAAATTGCATCAATTTATATGAGTTAAATGTGAAGAACACCACAGATTTAAAACCAAGTACAGAGTGCCTGATTCTTTTTTTTTTTTCAATTCTACAAATACCTAACATCCCAAAATAACATGTAAACAAATCTCTATGCTTCCCAAGGTCTTCTTTCCCATTCTCTACAATGAACTAAAGGGTATCAGTTCTAATAGATGACTTTTTATGTAAGTTATGGTTTCATTTATTACTTTGACTGTATTACTAATATAGCAAAGAGGGAAGATTTTCAACTACTGTATTTATTTAAAACAAATTGACAGGTTAAAGCACCTGTTTTCAGAAAAGACAGCAGCATTTCGTAATATATTTAAAGTAAGATTTGGTCTAAGCCCATAATACCTTCCTGAACAACCATGCAACTAAACACTCTTAAGAGATGTTGCATAAGGGAGGACAGACAATGGGAAGCAATTTACACCTTTCCCTGGCTAACAGAAATAAAGTAAAGCGTATCCAGGTCTTTCTGACTGAATGGCTGTCATGTTTCATACACTCGGCTCTATAAAACTAGAGCCATTATAGATATATACTTATTACTTTTTAATAAAGTCTTGCTTGCTTCAAAATTTAAGGATGAACTTTTTCCTGATCAGTCACTTCAAGGAAACAATAAATAAAGTAGAAAAATGAACTGTTTGCCTATTTCTGTGAAAGAACGAAAAACATTTATACTTTGAGAGGTTCAGAAAATTCACTGTACAGAATCAACAGCTTATATACATTGTTGTTGTTGTTGTTATGTGCCGTCGAGTCATTTGCGACTCATAGCAACCCTATGTATAACAGCCCTAAACCCTGCTCTATCCTGTGCCAATCTCATTGCCTCTGACAGACCCATCCAGATTACCCCAGTCACTGAATCAATCCACCTCATTGAGGGTCTTCCCCTCCTGAGCTGTCCCTCTACTCTACCCAGCAAGACCTGTCTCTCCTTGCAACATGTCCAAAGTATGTCAGATGAAGCCCCAGATTCCTTGCCTCCAAGGAGTAGCCTGGTTTAACCCTCTCTAGGATAAATCTGTTTGTTTTCTTGGCAGTCCATGGTACATTCAATACTCTTCTCCAGCACCGCAGCTCAAAGGCGTCAATTCTCCTTCCGTCCTCCCTAGTCATTGTCCAGCTCTCTGATGGATAACAAGTAATTGGAAAGACCATGGCCTGTATCAGGCTCACCTTTGTCTCCAAAGAGACACGGTTTCTCTTGAGTACTTGAGAGGTCCCTAACAGCAGATTTTCCCATCGTGATACGTTTTTTGATTTCCTAGCTGCTGGTGCCAAAAGTGTTGACTGTGGAGCCGAGCAAACTGAAGCTGTGAACAATCTCAATCTCTTTGCCATCCATCCTGATGCTACTAATTTGTCCAGCGGCGAGAATCTTTGTCTTCTTGACATTGAGCCTCAGACCATATTGAAGGCTGCAGTCCTTGACCCTCTGCAGTAAGTGCATGAGGTCCTCCTCAGTTTCAGCGAGCAAGGTTGTGTCATCTGCATAACGCAGACTGTTGATAGATCTTCCACCAATCCTGATGCCACAATTCTCCTCATAGAGCCCAGCCTCTCAGACAATCTGCTCTGCATACAGGTTGAAACGGTATAGAGATAGGACACATCCCTGGCGCACACCTTTCCCAATTTTGAACCATTCAGTGTTGCCCTGCTCTGTTCTGATGACTGCCTCCTGGTCCAAGTATAGGTTCCGCATTAGCACGATTAAATGTTCTGGGATTTCCATTCTTCTCAGAGTCAGCCACAGTTTGTTATGATCCACGCAGTCAAATGCCTTTGCATAATCAATGAAACACAGATAGACATTCTTCTGGTACTCTCTGCTTTCAGCCAAGATCCATCTAACATTGGCTACAATATCCCTAGTACCACGACCCCTTCTAAACCCAGCCTGGACTTCTGGCAGTTCTCTGCTAATGTACTGTTCCAGTCGTTTTTGGATAATCTTCAGTAGAATCTTGCTTGCATGTGAAATCAATGCTATTGTTTTGTAGTTTCCACACTC